TACGTTCTGCCAGTATTGGGCACTTGTGCAACGCAAGCGACGTAGCTACATCCGAGTGTACGAGATGGAGGGAAGTAGGCTAAGTGAGGGAAGTAAAAGGGCATATAGAACATTTGACTTAAACGCAGCCTTAGAGAACTGAGATGTCCTTCAAGATGGCTAACTTTAATCTGTTTCTGGGTCACGTGACAGGCCGGAGGGTGAAGGAGCGAGAAAACGAGGAAACATCCATTTGAGTTTTGAGAAGCTCCCTTAAAGTTACTCTGGTCTTTAGCGTTTGCTGATCATCTTTAAATTACATCCACCAGAGGGCAGTCAAGTCAGTTACCTGTGAATTGAACTGGAACAAAAACTCACAACACAACCCAACAGACGTAGAATGTCAATGTTAAAAGGCTAAAATAAATCTCATCGACAGTTTCTCTGATATGTTTGTAAATATGTGTTGGAATTTAACTCTTGATGTACCAGTAACCTTAACTCCCCCAGGAAATGCTGATCTTTATCCTGATTAATACAGTTGTGAATTATCTTAATTCTCTGCTCATCTAAGACCAACGCTTCTGACTCTGGCATGCTTCATCCATATTCCAATAGTATTTTCCCATATTGATCTTCAAAGAAAGGGGAAACAATTAATTTCACTATGATTTCACTTTTGAAAGATTACATTTAACCATTTGTAACCCAACCTGGCATTTTATCCTTGCAGATTTTTCACAATGTTCTCAAACAGTAGAACCAGCATGTCTAATCTTCAAGCATTAACATTTTCATTGGTTCACTTAGCAGAAACTTTTATCAAAAGTGACTTAAGAGAAAAGTAGTACAGCACAATCCTTGATTGAATCCTCATGTTAAGTCCTCGATTTAACACAAGGAAAAATTTTTTACTCTCATGTTAGAGGAATATTACGTCTACAATCCCAGTCGTGTATAGTTTGGTGGTTGGTGTTTAAGAGATTTTAAATAGCTGTAATACACAAGACATTTCTAAACTTACAGAACGTTTCAGAGAGACGTAGTGTAGAGCTGTCCATGGTGCTGAACGGGTATCACCAGTTGCCAATATTTAGTCTGCTCACACTAACAAAATGTTTTCACTCAGCCTTAAGCTAATGAAAAAGAAAGAGGTGAAAATGACAGATACAGGAATGAGAAATAGGTGAGAATGATACAGGAAAGACCAAAAAAAAAAAAAAACCTTGAACTGTATTGCTTCAGTTGTCTAGTTTCTGATGGTGAGTCAGAGGACGAGTCTCATTCTTCATTGTCATGACTCACAGCCTGAGAAGATCACTGAAATCAGATCCTAGATGTGAATGGCCGTTCCACGGTTTCACACTTGCTTCCCAGGTATTGATTGTCCACCGATTCCCTAAGGTCTTTGAGAAAGAACTTAACTGACATCTTTCCCATTGGGATATGACCCTGATTCTCAATAGTGTGGCCCAAGCTTTCCATGCATATAATTGCAAATGTGGCAACATTAGACAAATGAATCGGTTTAAAAAAAAAAAATGCTTGTAGTCTTATTAAATTTCTCAAATGTTCCAAAAAGGTAATTATAGAGGTCATTATAATCATTATTCATTTCTAATTTGGCAAACACATTGCAGATCTTTAAATAAAACATGTAATGTAAATAAACATCTAGAAATGTAATGTTCTGAATCCATCCTTCATTGTGTGTTAAGGAGAGATAAAGAGGGGTGTTCCAAGCACGTGCCAGATCCATTGTCCTCAGTCCGCTCTGCTTGACATGGGTCACCTCCAGGATACCCCTCTGGTTCAGAGATTGAGTCAAGGACATTGGTTACTAAGGAGATCTCCATAGTAATCTTTTAGTCTTCATTATGGGAAGCATGAATGCAGCTGCTTTATCATGATGTTGTTATGTTACATTTAGCAAAATGCAACAATATTCATATAGCATGATTACTTTAACTACTTACAGTAGCAGAAAACAAAGAAATAGTAGGAAGATAGTATGGGTATTTGTATGCCTTGTATTTAATACATTTAAATATACTTAGATCATTTATAATTTAGAGTTGATGAGAAGAGAGTCTCTGCCATATACAATATCCTGACATATATGTCATAGGCCATCACTGTATTTGTATTACCGTATATTTTAATAAGGCGTGACATTATGTAATCACATGACCTTACTAAGTTTATTCTTGTTTCATTCAGTGTCCAGATATCATATCTGGAGACATCAGACATCAAAAATATATGGCTATGCATTTTGAATCCAATTTTTTTTTAAAACATCTTATATGAACATTGTGGGTGTTCTAGTTCATACATCATGGAAAGCACTGGAAGGTCATGTTTAACTCAATGCATTGAGGTGTAACGATCACCCCAATCAGACAATTTGCTATTTATACACAATAGCCTATATGAATTATTTTTTATGTAAGGACTTACTACATTTGCCAACACAATAGAATTACACACACAATGCAATGTGCTTTGATTTCCGGTGCGAACAATGTTTGTCTGTTTGTCTCTTCTGTTTCCTCGTGGTTTTCAGTATTTTTCCTTAACGTTTAGGCATATACACACAAATTGATTAAGCAAAAAGGTATTTTGTGACTTAAAAAAGGTCATGCGACTGTTTTATATCCTTACATGCTGCATTCTTTTTTGTTTTTTCATCCATATTTCGTTGCTTTTATTAATGCGCACGCAGTATTGAGCATTAGCAATCCGTGCAGAGCCAGAGATCCAGCTGCACGTTTGAGTGACAATTAATGAGTGCGTCATGTGATCCACCGAGTCATATGCCAATTATGAAGAGATTCTAGTAGGCTACTGGTTCTGTTCGGAATGTTTCATTATGTAAAGCTTCGTGACTAACGCATCTAACAGGTGCTGCACTGTTTCCGTCGACATGAGTCAGCAACCTGTGCTCTTGTTGAGAGTACGTCTGGGAAGCTGATGAACGCCATCCAAGAATCTTGCATGAATATTTAATTGGAAAGTTGATGCGGCTTTAATTGTGTTTGTGGGTGACGGGACGCATGACAATCCAAATACAGTCATCAGAGCAGAGCCACAGCAGGAGCCCTGACTGACTCACTGCTCCTCATTCATTCACACACGCTCGGCCTATAGCCTATAAAATGCCTTCGAGGAGGAGGAGGGGGATAGTTGGAAGGCTTTTAGGTTTTCGCAAGGCTGGAGTCCAATCCACATTTGTAGATTAAACAACAGAGAGAAACTTAAAGATTTGTATCTCTATCAAGATGCCCCCGGCGAAACTGCATCTGAATCACACAGGTGAGGAATTTATGATCGTCATTGAGCATTCTAAAATAAATGACAAATAAATGAAACAGGCATAATGTGTATAATAATAACGAATGCAATACGCATAAAATGGATATCTCCAGTCCAGGATGAAATATGGAGCATACATTTGCAATTTAGGCAAGGCATTTTGTCATGCTGTGATGATAAAAAATAAATCTTTTACTGATATTAAATATATTTCCCTCCATGCTTGAAGGAATTATGCAGATGCGTGTAATTGTAAATTGGTGTGTTCGTGTGTGTGTGTGTGTGTGTGTGTGTGAATGTTGTGTGAAACACTTGACGCAATTCACATTCATTACGCGCTGGCGTCAGAGATCAATTAAATAGCATTTACACGGCTCAGTGTCTCATTGTTCTCTTTTGTGATCTCTGCTTGAGGTGTGAGAACAATAAGACACTGCGAACATGTGCGCTTCATGAAGCTCAAACCAGAACTTCTGTCATCTTTCAACTTAGTCTGTCAACATCATTAGCTACAGAGACTTTAATTGATGAGTTTATTTAATATTTTCATCCATTTTAATACAAAAAAGTGAAAAGTTGCACAGGCAGAACCCTGCAAGTAGGCCTATGCATTGTGTGCATTGATTATTATTTTAATTTTTTTTTATGTAATGAAACATTCCGAAATACACGTTAAATGTAGGCCTATTTAGGGAAAAATACAGTCTTAGAATAAGACGCACAAATGTCTCATGTTAATTTTCATGCTATTTCATTTAAAAATGAAATAGCCCCCCCCCCCCCCCTCCCCCCACACGCACACGCACGCACGCACGCACATTAATAACTAGGAGAGAAAAACCGCATGTACCTATGTAGTTTTGTAGAGATAATTCTCATAAATAACACATTGGCCTGTTAAATATTAAAATAGGCTAACACAATATTAAAAATATAATGTTTTCGAAGAACACATAATTTTTTAAGATGGATGTGAGATCGATTAACAAATGCCTTATGCAACAAATCAATACTTTTTTATGAAGAAAGTGGTCAGGCTTTTATTGCTGTCCCAATGTATATCCACTATGTGGTGTGTGTCAGCATGCTGAGGGTCATTTCATAGGTTTAAGAGGGGAGGCCACTTCCTATTCCCCAAGCTTACTTGTTCTCAATCTGTGATTGGCTCATTGGCGAATTTGGACCCTACCGCTGCAGAAATGTGCAATTCATCAGCTCAAGTTGAGCATCACGTAGACTTGATCTAAAACTGAGGGAGGCTAGCCCAATAGAGGAGATGCTACAGTGACCCGTGTCCTTTATGATTCACTCAGGAATTAACACTGACCACTGTTTTATGATCTTTTTTCGTGGTGTGAACCAAGAAGAGGTTGAAGACATCCTGGAGACATGGCTGAAGGTGAGGTCGTGGGTGATCTTCCAGTGGGGGGTCAGTGAAGAGAGAGTGGAATAAAGAAGAGGGGGTGGGACGGATCTTCTGCATTGTCTTTCAGATTTGGGGATCTTTACAAAGGGCTCTTCCCAGAAGCCCTGAAATTTTCGCGTCGTTACCGCTAAAATGTATACCTCAAATATTTTGTTTGTTCGTTTCTTCTGGCATCGGTAAAGTAGTATTATTTTGTTTTAGCTGGAGTTTTGAAATGTGGAGGAAAGTCTGAAGCTTTTTCAGTAGCTACACGGGATTTATTTGGAGATTGATGGGCGAGATGGGTGAAATGGGCTCGGTTTATGAGCAATATTACACAGGTGAGCGGGTACATTTTTGTGCTTATGATTGATTAGAGTGCACAAGAACGCGCATTGATGAATCAACTTTCAGCTTTTTTAGTCGTGTGTAGCATATAATTTAATGATAAAAAGAGTAGGCTACTTTAAGGGAGCTTGATGAAATATTGATTTAAAAAATTAATGTCGTTTGAAAATATTTAACAATAGGTCGATGTGACGAGTTCATACTGATAAATCACTGGTGACACATATGGAAAAAAATATACCTATAGGCCTATTCGGGTTTCTCGTGGCCTGACTACAATATTCTATTTTGGAATTTGCATTTCCCAGATTTAGTGATGGTTGTAATTTAAAACATAAATGTATATATTTATTGGGGAAAATTGAATGACTTATTGCGTTTTCACTTTCAATGCTATTAACAAAATCTGTAAAGAAATAATCTAAGAACATTATTGTTGAAGTTACCTGTTGAAGTAGGCTTGATAGCCTACTCTCATTACAAAGTAATGGCATAGGCCTACCTATTTATTTGCGTTACAAACGTTGTTTTGGTTTAGGCCTGTATAGTGTAAAATAAGTACTGAACAAAGAGAAAGTAAATGTATTCGCAAGGAGAAATCCATTTCGATACGCATTTCATTCACTCGCATTTCGCACGCAGATCTTGTGGCATTTTCACGCCAAGCGTCATGATTTCACTATGTCGAAACAGCAAAGTTAAAGCTTAGCCTACTGATTTATTTTGTTGATTTATTTTTGTCCACTTTCCATATCGAGATATTTGTGTTTGTAAAGTTAGTTGATATTCTTGTTTTTGTGCTTTTATGAAGGGGGCTGTGCAAAGACAGAGGAGGAGGAAGCCGCGAGCTCCGAGGAAGACTCGGGCTCGTTCCGTGGCGCTGGGCTCTGCAAATGGTTTAACGTGCGAATGGGCTTCGGCTTCCTGTCCATGACCCATCGTGAGGACATCTGTCTGGACACACCCGTGGATGTGTTCGTCCATCAGGTGAGAGCAAATCAATCCTGCCGTTTTTATGGACCGGACCTGATAGCCTAAGGCCTTCGTCCCTTATCATCAAATAGCTTAATTTTCTCATGGTTTAAACGACAAAAACTCTGGTTACTATAATAGCCTAAACTAAATATTTTCAGTAATAGTACATTTATAATGATCTTGCACCATTTATAAAGCTTTAATTTAGTGTTTGGTGTTGATGCTCGAACATTAACGGCTAAATATTCGTAAGGCTATCGAAACCTGCATTCTTACAAATAAAGGTTCTTCGTTCGTTCAGCAAAGAAACCTCTTTTTATCAGCAACATTTTTTCGCTTTATAGGGTTCTTCAGTTGGCTGTGTGGTGATTTGTTAAGTCGTGCATGGTCTCTGCTGGATGTTTTGTGTGTAGAGGACAATAAGTTATTAGTTTAAAAGGCATATTATATTTCACAAAGGACTTTAAAGCTCATGTTTTGGCTCTAATTGGGACCCTTATTTTTTAACATAAAGATGTTGTAGTTTTTATATTGAGTGATTTAATTTATTTGGATATTTGGGAATTTTTCACATTTCTGGTGGCGTTTGGAGGTTTAGACTGTGATATGTTGGTAATTGCTTTATATGAGAATTGGAAGGGTCAGAAAGCACTATGGTTGTATTTTTTTTTTAATTGCGTTTTAAAATATGCCAAATTATTAGGCCATTGAAACTAATCGATGCTATTTTTATAAGTGCAATTTATTATAAAACATGTGCAAACTTTACCAGTGACACTAACATCTCTATTTACAATGTATATCCTTTGACTCAATTTTACTTGTAGGCCTGTGCTTTTACAATACTTCCAAGGATTGGCCCTGAAATATTTTGCAAAACAAAAGTGATTTAGTTCTGGTAGAGTTTGGTGAATTCCGGTAGCTCAAGCTGTCCCAAAAAGATACAATTTCTTGTCATTCGTGTCTGAGCTCTCTCACAGGGACACAGGTTCAAGTCCGGTCTGCAGCGTGTCCTTGTTCCATGTCTACTCATTAATCCAACTTTCCTTCATACCATCTTTTAAATAAAGACAAACAGCCCAAAAATGAAACCACAGTGAATATCTTATCTATATCTTAAATCTAAAATCACTTGGCTACAGTGCTTCAGAAAAAGTGCTATATTTAAAAAATCCTGTTGAGTTTACTGTCTCCAGTCCTGAACACTTACCTTCTCACTCAGCAATAATTTAACAAGCTATTGCCACAGAACAACCAGCAAGTCGGCAAACAGTGGATCACCTATCGCCCCGAGCCAAATGAGCTGCTGCCTCATGACTTGAGGTCATTGTGTAAAATTACCCAGAGATTAGAGCATCTTACGGGCAAGCAGCCCTACACATAGTGTCAAGTGATCTCTCTGTCTCTCTAAGTAAGAGGTCTTCGGTTACCTCCAGACTGGCTGTCTGGGAGGCTAAACAGAGGGTGTTAGGGCTTAGCATACATCACCTGTAAGTTGATTGACTGCACATTATGATGTAAAACTGAGATGGGAACAACCAAAACTTCAAACAAAAACTGATAATTGTCATAATTTACTTACCCTCATGTCATTCCAAACTTGTATGACTTTCAGTTTTGGTTACCATTCACTTTCATTGTGTGGGGACATTTCTAAAATTCTCAAAAAAAAATTCACATCATACTGAAAAAAAAAAACGTGTGTTGGATTTACATGATTTTATGTGAACACGCACATAATTTGTACATGTAAAACATGCTACGGTTTCTGTTGTCAACATCAAAAAATTATTTGAGTACTTGATTGGTTCACATTCGTCTTACCTAATTTAATCTAGCAAACTGCACATTTAAGAGAATTACATTAATTGGATGTAAATAATAAACAATGATTAAATAAACACAAAAAAAAAGGAAAACAGATTGTCTCATGTAAACCTCACATCAATGTTTTGTGTATAAACCAGCCAAATGGGCATAGTTGTCGCTTGTTGCTTATAAAAATAAAAAAAGCCCGATAGCCACCAATGAATCGGCCGATAAATCAATGAATGCATAGCACAACTCCTTAAAGCAATGTTTCTCCCAAAATAAAAATTCGGTCATAATTATCCTCATGTCATTCTGTACATGTAAAACTTCCTTTGTTCTTCAGAACACAGAAAACAATTATACTTTTAACAATCTAAATGTTTTTGTTTATACAATGAAAGTCAGGTCAGATCGGCTATCTGTTTTCTATGGAAGAAAAAAGTCATAATATGATTGGAACAACATGAGGATGAGTAAAATGATAGAATTTTCATTTTGGGGTCAACTGCCCCTTTAAGACCAATTCAATATTGAAATGTAGGTTAACACTTCAGAACAAATGCAGTGTGAGTTTGCGTGGAGGAAGATTTCCGGACATTTTTGGGTGGTTTGGTTTTTAACAATCTGGATGCAAGCAGCTCTCAAACCTACCTGAGTCTCTTTCTGTGGATGTATTGATAATGTTCAGAGTAGAGTGACTGCCATGGGAACTACCAGGTTAAAAAAAGACAATGGCTGTCATTGTCAAACCTTCAGAGGGAAATCCTGCCTTCCTTAAATCTTTGAATCACTGAATGAATGGTGTTTGTGTGTGAGGATGACCAAAAAGAAGGGTCAGCGGAGAGAGATTTCATAATTAATGGTGAAAAATAGTTGAAAGACCTGCTGAAAGAGAATGTTGGGAATGGAGAGCAAGAGATTGGAAAAAGGGGGGCAGGGAGAGAGTATTTTGGGGGAGGGGGTTGTTAGCTAAATTCATTGATAAAAAAACCCCTCTGTAGTAAAAGAGGAGGGTGAGGTAGAGAAGGTCAAAGAATAGAGCCGCGGATGGTTTCAGGAAGCTTTGGCGGGGGTTGGGCCTGATTCCTTCTCCAGCGACCCCCTCCTGTGTGAGGTGGGTGTCAGAGTAAAGACTGACATCATGTGAGAGCCAAAGCGTGGACCACTGTAGACGTCTCACCTGGTGTAGCTAGCTGTATTGGGAATTTCTACATTGAAATGGTCAGCCTTTTAACAAACTACAGTTTAAAGAAGTTAAACAGGCCAGCTTTTTTCCTCCCAACAGAAGCTCTTTGGAAAAAATGTGCCTCTACCTCTTAATTTCCTGCAAAACTCCAAAAACACACATCTACAAACAATTCATTGCAGTTTCCAGCTAAAATGAACAACAACAGTAAAAAAAAACAACAACAACTTTTATTCCTTTTCACACAAATTATGATTACAGGGGCAGATCATCAATTAGTAAAGACTCATTTTCACTTGGTTCCTTGCACAATATTATGTTGTGATCTCAAAATGCTTTTAGTGTATGATTTGTATAGACTAATCACATAACGGGCTCCAATGTATGGCTTTTCTGACATAGTAAACTTGCTCAGTAGCATTGAGACACAAGTCATGCAACTTGATAAAAGAGCTAAAACAGCAACTGCGTTTTATCTCACTATTGGTTAGGTTTTGGTTGGGTTTAGTGTAAGTGGTGCATTATTTACAAATGAACATTGACCTTTTTGCGTCACTCACCGGACATTTAATTTCCGAACTGCCCCAATACATACAACTACTAATGTAATAAAATGTTGCCAAAATAAACAAGAAGAGCAGCCTGGTGTTTTGCTTTTAGAGAGAATGTGTGGAATTTATTACAGACCATTAAGAGTTTAATGGGTAAAACACTTAAAACTTTATTTTAAAGCATGACCTCGCGAGAAGACAAGCAATTTTAATATAAGGACAGATTTTGAGGTACAGAACCAACACTACCAACTTAGGTAAATATTTCAGTCCCACTTTATATTAGGTATTTTTAACTACTATGTTCTAACATTTAAATGAATTATTTGATACAATGCACTTAGTGTGTACTTTTACATTGTAAAGTATTTATTTATTTTAAAAAATACCAAAATCTCTAGTTAATTTCTGTATTTACATCTATAATTACACTGTTGACCCTTTCCCCTACCTCTTAACCCACCCTTATAACACCAAACCTGTCCCTAACCTTACCCGTGTCCCACCTCAATAGCAGCAAGTGTTTTGCAATACAACATGAACACAATACATTGTACTTATTTTTTGATGTAAGTACATAGCAGTTAAAGACACAAGTGTGAACAATTATTCTCTAAACACAATGGCTGTAGTCAACTTGATACCATGATCTCCCACATACACCAACTTGTCCGATATTTGGTCTCCAAGTTGTTGTTTGTTAAGAGTACAAGCAAGAAGGTTGTTGTTAAAGGTAGATCCTTTCTCAAGCCCCATTTCCATGCATCTGTAGAGCAAGTATCTCAGGAATGTGAGCTTCCCCCACCTTTTCCCACAGCAAACCCAGTGCTTGATGGCCAGGGTGAGATTTAACCAGATGGCGTTATTTTAGGGAAGCTCATCTGTCCATCCCAGTCACTTCAATAGCCTCACTTTCATTGCTTTTTCTTGAGAAACAAAAACAGTACATATGTGATTTTTGAGTAACATCCAATCTGCTAAGATGCCATTGTCTGGTTGAATTTTGAAAGCATGGATATATCTTTCGCTGGCTATGATATCTTACAATATTCTGCATGTAGGCTGCTGGTTTGATTCTTCAGTTTCGGATGCAGCCATTGATGGACAAAGTTAATTGGTGGTGAGACCAGATGAGGAAGCCGTTTTGATCTGAGTGTAATGTTAAGAGGTTGTTGTGTCGGTGCCAGAGTGAAAGGGGATGTAGCAACATTGTTGGGGGCAGGGAAGATGGTGTTTTTACTGGTTCTTAAAGAATTGCACAGCTCTGTGAGAAAGGTTAATGGTGAAGTGAATTGACTATTCAATCTGGCTTAGTTAAACTTATTTTGTGGAGATGGCATGCTGAAAGTGGGAATTTTGCTAAAACGTGCAGACTACAACAGATAATACTTGATCTTCCACCTACAGTGTGACAAATCGGTAGTAATTATCGTGTTTATTTTTCAACTTTTTATTTGACTGTACTTCCAAAAGTTAAAGAGGCTTTTAACACACAGTTCAATTAATAAATGCGAAATAATCTTTTTTTATTATTATTGCCCTGAACTGGATGGCACTCAAATGCAACATGCAGCAACAAAGTAATATACTCCATTTAGCAGGATAGATCTGGATGATAAGTTTATATTTTGCAAATATACAAGCAATCAAGAAATTTAGATTTGCTATATAGAATATATCACCCGAAGAGTTGATAATTACATATAATTTTTTAGATGGCATAAAACATATATTTAACAATGGCAAATTTGCATATGTACAATACATATTATTTTATTTTATATCAAATTTGTATTAAATTATAATTTGGCAAGAGGAAGGGGCTGGTATTCATCAAAATGTGTATATAGGGTTGGGAATAGAAAATTTGTTCCAATTCTTGAATCAGATACTTGAGGTCAGGAATCAGATATTTGTTATAAAATTAAAAATTTTATTCCGCTTATCGATTCCTGCGTGCGCATTTTAATGAGGTTTTAAACCATTCAAGCGCAAGAAGATGCGAATCGGCACTCGCACGCTGTTTCCTGTGCTGGGCACATCCAGAGTGCCCACAAAAAGCCGCCACTCATATATGCCTATAGTGTCTTGTGCTTGAACGGACAAATACACACAAAATTGTCAAAATGTCCCCGTAAACACAGTTGGTTATGTCTTTTACAGTTACAACAGTGGATCATGCAAAAAATGGATCCATGCATTATAGGTCTAAAAGGGACAGCAGCCTAATAAAGGTCCCGATATACTTCAAGTGAAATCGAAGAACAAACTGCTGTAGTAAATCAAGCCAAAATGGACTTCTTTTGGAGTTTGTTTTGCGAGTTCGATACAGCTAGCCAAAGCAAACTTTCAGGAAAAGTTTGCTCCGGCTGCTAAACACCATTGTACTACCATTGGTCCGTGGTGATTACGTAATAGGTATAGGTGTGCGCAGAGGCTCCGCCTTCTTTCACGTGGAAATCTTTTTCGGTTCATTCCCTCTGTTCAGTCCGTCGAGGTCAGACATCCGCAAGTGAAAACGTGAAAACACTAGAGAGCTGCTTTATTGTATAGACCGAAAAAATATGTTTGATATCTAAATGTTTGACTTTTTTTTTATTACCATATTGGAATCAAAACTAAGAATCGAAATAGCTTAAATTCAATTGATACCCAACTCTAATATCCATGTAAATAAATAAATAATATATGTTTATAAATAAACAAACAATTACCAACCCTTTTTAAACATAAGTATTTCAATTTATAATAAATATTAAATTAATTAAAATGAATTTATTTATTAAGCATTTGTTTAAAAAAAAGAGAAATCAGCGGTTTCATAATGTACATATGATCCAAGCATCTACAGCAGTGTTTCTATTATATCTCTGCAGAGCAAGCTTCATATGGAGGGCTTCCGCAGTCTGAAGGAAGGGGAAGCTGTGGAGTTCACCTTCAAAAGATCATCTAAGGGTCTGGAGTCCTTATGGGTGACGGGGCCAGACGGGGCACAATGCGTAGGCAGCGAGAAAAAACCCAAGGGTGCCCAAAAACGCCGTTCAAAAGGAGATCGGTAAGTGCTGTCTGTTCTGTTCTACAACATTTTTACTTGCACTATGTGATGAATGCTTCATGAAGTTCATGAATACAGAATTCATCGATCTGATAATTGAGTCTTTTCACATTCATGTTTTTACCAGTCAGTCTTCTACGGTGGGCATGGTCAATGTCAAGGTTAAACTCTCAACTATAGAATATAATATTTCACAAAATCAATGGGTGTAATATATATATATATACCGTATATATATATTACCCATTTTTTAAAATTAATATATATATATATATATATTAAAAACAAATATATATATATATATATATTTATTACCTGTGTGTGTGTGTGTGTATATATATATATATATATATTACCTGTATGTATATATATATATATATATATTTCTTTATTTTATTTTATGTTGTACTTATTTCTTGGCATTTTGGGGCAAAATGCCATGCCATGGTCATTTCAGCTGTTAGGATGTTGGTTCTGATTTTTCTAAATATTGTACTAAACTACCCTCACTCTTACTACCTACATACATATTATACACACACACACATATATATATATATATATATATATATATATATATATATATGTTCAGGATGTTGCTTTTGAATTGTTCTGACACAGTATCTCGATGAGCATTTCCTTCCCACACCCTGTGCATTGGTGACTTGACCTGCTGAATCAATAGGTTGTTTAAAATCTCATAGCTCAGAATTTAGGCGCCCACCCCCCACAGCACAACTGCAGGTTATATTGATAAGCACCTCCCACAATCCTCAGCTGTATCTAATCACAGTGGTGGGTTGAGTGTGGATCTGAACCCATGAAAGCGATTGCAGTTTTGGCAGTGTCATAAGCTCAGTTACGCAGCAGTGCATTGTTGCAATAGTGAACAGTCCTGCCATTTCTACGAGAGCAGCTGCCATAATCAGCTAACGCAACAAATTCAACATGACAATTTTCCATTTAGTAAAATGTACTTTCTCCTGCTGCTTATCATTGCTACTCCATCTTTCTCTCTGTCTGTTGCTCCTGATGGAGGATCAGATCAGATCCTGCCCTTTTAATTAATAACAGATGTAGGTGCCTGAGAAAGGTCAGAGGTGAATGCTGCCATAGCAACCCTGAGGTGTGATGTATGTGAACCGGGTGGGGGTGGGCAGGAGAGAGCAGGGATCAAAGTGCAAAGGTCATGCTGCATATTGAAACAAAGAGCCAAAGAGATGCCCAACCTCCTCCAAAGCACACCACCTTCCTCTGGCCGATCAATACCTCCCCCCCCTCAGTTCTGCTGCAGGGAGACTGATGGGCTTAAATGCATTGCACAGGAAGTTTTCATTTAAATGAATAGCCAACCCACAAATGGAAACGGTTATATTTTTAGGTGACACTGATTGAAGTATTGTGCTAAACTCCACTCTGCTTTATAAGACATGGAACGTTGCACAAATCATGTGAACACATCATTATTTATTCATTATATTTAAAATATTATAAAAAAATATTATAAGAAGTTATTGTAAACTACACTAATACAGCTCTTATATTCTTATATGTACAGCTTCAGAAGACTTGGAGTATGGCGTTAATCACTTTTATTTGCTTGTTTATTTGTTTGTTTATATTTTAAGTGAGTTGTGAATAAGTTATCAAACTTAACTCAAATACATTATTTATCTGAATCGTAAATGAGTTGTGAATACCGGTAAGTCATCATACTAAACTCAAATTAATTAATTAATTTATTTATTTATTAATGTATGTGAATAGTAAATAAGTTGGGAATAAGTTATCATACTAAACTCACATTTATTTTTATTTACTTTTATATTTTTAGTAAACCATATAATATTGAACTCAAATTTATTCATTTATTTTATATTAAGCGACTCGTAAATAATTTAAGTAATCACACTTAACTAAACTGTTATTTATGTATTTATGTGAATTGTAAATAAGTTGTGAAATAAGGTATCATACTAAACTCAAATGTATTTGTATTTATTTACTTTTTTTTTTTAATATACTTTCAATTTTTATTAGAATTTTATGTCAACAACAATAAAACAAAAAGGAAAAAAATAAAATAAATAACATGCATTGAACAAAATCAAAGGAAGCCAAGGAGGAGGTACCTAGTACAATTGAAACAAAAATAAGTCTAGTTGTACTCATCGGAATCACTGATCAATAAACCTTACATTTACAATACTTCTACCATCTTTTGCATAAATGTACCAAAAACCCAATCAGTAGAGTCTCACAAACTTAACACACAGGATACAGTTGTATTGGGAAGAACAGTTATGCAGATTCTAGGGCCAGAACATTGGTCCAAATGCTGATTCTCTTAACCTTATAGTGTAGGTTAATTTTTCCATTATAAAAATGCTTTGAATTAAATTTGTCCATTGCTGTAGATCTGGGATGTTCGATTTGAGACAAAATTTAGTAATAGCCTTTCGGGCTGCAGATAATAAAATCTTGGATAAATTCCACACACCTTCTGTGATGTTTCCGAGAAACATAACTTTACATTCCTTTGGGATATTGTACCCCAGCACCTTCTGTAAAGTATTGTTAACGATAGACCAAAATGGTTGAATAGGACATGTCCAGAAGATGTGGGCATGGTTTGCGTCCCTACTACCACAGTCCCTCCAACAGTCTTGAGGTATCCCAAGTTGTTTACTCTTCAAATAAGGAGTGATGAAAAACCTCATAAAACACTTCCAATTAAATTCTCTCCACTGTTGGGAGTTGGTGGAGGTCTGGAGTAGGTAACATGCTTGATACCACTCCTCCTCCGTGAGGGCAACCTTTAATTCACATTCCCATTTTGCTTTTATATAGTGTAGTGTTTTTCAAGTTCTCCATCAGACTCCGATAGAGTTTAGACACAGTCTTATTAGTCTTTTGTTGATAAGCCCCACACATTATTTCAATAAGAGGGTTTACCACGTCAGAAGAAAACCCCTTAATTTCTTTGCAGTAGTAATCTCTCAGCTGAATAGATCCTGGTTATTTAGATCAAAGCTATTCTTTAGCTCCTGAAAACTCTTCATCTTGTTGTTTTTGATAGCTATGCTACTCATCCAATCTTTAAAAGTACTGTCATAAATAGCCGGCTTAAATCTGTTATCCAGTGCAATCCATCTCAGTATTTTTGGATCATTTTTAAGTTGCAATTGCTTAATCAGAGAGAACCATATCCCAAGGGAAAATAATATAATTCAGACCCTTCCTTAGAATGTCATCTAGGCCTTCCTCTCCCAACAGGGTTTGAACATTATAATTTGGTATACATAAGTCTCAATATCTTTCCATCGTGCAATATAAGAGTTATCACACCAAAGGCACAAAGGTCGTAGTTGTGCAGCTTGAAAGTATAGTTTTAAGTTTGGCAGAGCCATTCCTCCTTTCTCTTTTGGCAGATGCAAAGTAGAGAGACGTATTTTGGGGCGTTTTCCTCCCCATATGAACCTTGACACCATTTTGTCCCATTGTGCAAATTGTTGAAGTGGCATTTCCACTGGTAGCGACTGGAACAGATACAGGAGCCTTGGCAGAATATTCATTTTTATTACATTTATTCTGCTACTAAAATCTAGCGGGTAGCGGGTAGGTCGACCTACTTTTATATTTTAAGTCAGCCATAATAAATAAATAAAATAATAAATTTGAGTTTAGTTTTATAAGTGACTAAATAAGTCATGAATAAGTTGGCATATTTAACTGATATGTATTTATTTGTTTTGTTTTGTTTAAGTGAGTCGTAAATAGGTTGTGAATAAGTTATCATTCTAAACTTGATCCTCAAATGTATTCTTCTATTTATTTCTTATTAAGTGACTCGTAAATAAGTTAACATAACATTTATTTGTTTGTTTGTCACTTCATCAATTCATTCTTCAATTCATTAAGTCACTTCAATAAGACGTGAGTAAGCTTTCACACTAAACTCGAATTTATTTATATTTAAGTAAATCGTGAACAAGTTATACTAAAGTTGTTTATTTATTTTTATTATTAATCATCATCACCATCATCATCATCACCATCAATCATAAAAAGAATAACCATAAGTAGTCATAATCTTTTTTGGAGCTCAGTTGTATCCATCCCCATTCATCTTTATTGTTCACTCTGCTCTTTTTGTTGTCATTTCTGCTGAACATCATAAGGGTTAATAAATCAGTCTTGGATTCTATGGTGCTGTAGATGTACACAAAACACTGCCATTCTCCTTTTACATCATTATCTAAATAAGACAGGATAATAATGCCATGTAAAACATCTCGCATACTAACATCTTGAACTTTAAGAAAGTTGTGCAAACTAGTCATAATGCAGTTCCGTTCGGTTAAGCAACAAGATGCCTGCCTCATAATCATAAACGCTTCACATTCTAAATACTAATTGGCTCTCTTATTTTTCCTACCCTGAAATGAGAATTCTTTCACAGTGGCTCTTGATTTCAAACATTTGACCGCCCTCTAGTGGTCTTTCATGCGAATAACACCTTTGTTTTCCCGCACCATTTACAGATGCTTCAACTGTGGAGGGACAAATCATCATGCCAAAGAATGCCAACTACCACCTCAGCCGAAAAAGTGCCATTTTTGCCAAAGCATCTCCCACATGGTGGCCAACTGTCCAATCAAAGCACAACAGTTGTCACCAGGATCTCAGGGAAAATCAACAACCTCAACAGGAGAAGATGATGACATGAGCCACACCCCCTTACCTCCCGAGACCTCTGATTAGTTGGGGGGAAGGTTGTCAGGGAAACACAAGCACCAATCAAAAAATGTCAAGCTGCTTTTGGAACTAACTCAGGTTTTTCTTTTTCAAACAGCAGAAATGAATGTCAGTCAGGAAATTTAAAAACCAGATTAAATTAATATAGAAAGTTATACTAAGAATTACTATCCTATCCATCTTTATATGTTAGCCATCATGTTCGTAAAAATATCTGTAGCTCAGTCTATTTGCAGAATTGATTTGGGATGAATTCCAGATATTTTAGATGGAGGATGATGATGATGATGATGATGATATGCATGTATTCAGAGGGCAAATCTCACAAAAACATGTCCAAGTCAGACACCTATTTGGAATTTTAGGACCATTAAGATCTTTTTATAAATAATGTTTCCTTGTCCTTTTCTAAATATGATCTAAAGTTAATCCATATTTATATGCTGCAATTGTATTTTATTTTTTCATATTTTTAAGTAATGCAAGTTGGTTGTCACATTGCAAAAAAACAAAAACAAATCTTAAATTATATTTTGCTTAAATGATAATCCCATTTTTTTGATTATAGGGTAAAATGTTGTATGTAGAACAGAACAACCTGTACTTGGCAGGTTTTGTGAGATCTGCCCTAAAAGTAAGAAGAAAGTGTTCGAGAGAAAGATTTTCATTTTCTGCCTTAGCTAGCGAAGTGTCTTAGATTTGTACTGAAACAATCAAAACACATCATGTTGACAAATTGCAATAAGCCTGGATATTATGCATATCTGTCTTTGTGCTTAAGTACAAATGATCATTTGCTTTCTAATGACAAAATTAGCATTGTCATCCACCACTACATTTGAGAAATCATACTGAATTTCCTTTTTTTTCCCCTTGCTGATGTTGTCTGACACTCTTTGCGATTGTTCTAATCCACAGGCCAAATGAATGTTAAAAGCTTGCGTTTGTGCAGATCATACATCCGTCTCTCTGTATCACCAGTGGAAATATTTTGACTGCACTGTCACTAGTTAGACACAGTGACTTTCTTAGATTGTTTAATGCTGTGTAATTGTAACGTAAGGCTTGCTCTCATTTAAAAAAATCTGGGAGATTCTAGAAAATGTCCTGAAGAAATCGACCATATTCCCAAATGGTACTTGAAAACTAGAGCCAAGACAATAGCACATTTTTTAAAACGATAATCTTTTTTCTTTAAATGATACTCAAATGATGTGCCAGGTTTGTCAAAGCTTATTCCAAGAGGAGATCCTGACTTCCTTGATCTCACTTTATTGTATATAATAATTGTAATTTTTCCCCCCCAAACCATTGTTATTTATTTGTAGCAACAAACTGACCTCAAACTATGGGATGTTGTGAGGGACTCAGTTTGCTCTCAGTCACAACAAGAGCTAAATTTCTTTTGCTAATTATTTCATAGTCTAACAATGTTTTTAACTGTAGTAATGTGTTGATTGACAGCTGGGGACCATTATTCGCAGTGTTTAAAATAGGCTGAGCATAATTTTGTGATTCACTCATTTTATTTATGGCCTTTCTTTTTAAAAAAAAGTTAGTTTGTTCTCTTTTTGACAGGGAGCAACTGAGTTGTCAAGATTCACTGTTTGAGGAAAGCATAGTCTTCTTTGCCAAATGAAAGCATAATGAATTGTGTATTCTTTTAGCCTTTTTGTATATTTGACGTATAGTCTTCAAACTTTCAGAAACTCAGTAGAAAAAACTAAACTAAACACTTGTAACAACTACCATTAATTAATAATGCTTGCAGCAAAGTTTCAACTCAAATAAACTGACTTAGGAAAAATGTTCTATTTGAAACCAGATGCAATGGAAATTGTCATTTAAAATAATCACTGCATGCATTGAACGCATTGGTTTAATGTTACAATAATTGTTAGTAACCTCAAAACTAACAGCACATCACTTCTCTTTCGGTTTCTGTACTTTATTGCATGGGAGTAGGTGTTAGAGTAGTTTAGGATTGGGTGGATGGGTCTTGCCTAGAACAACCTGTTGCAAACTTTTCAGTTTGAGGGATGTGAAGGTTTCTTTCTGATTGAATCTTAGTTCATGCCATTATTGTATATTACATTATCATTTCAATATTTTTATTGTATTGTTTTTTAACCTTTATTTAAAGTGAGAACAAGACGCGTAACTTGTTTCGAATCTATACAAATCTACCTCAGGGTGTGTTGAAATGTATTAAATGGACATTGTTACCGGAACATTGTCCGTTTAAGTGTGTATTTGATGTGTGTGTGTGTGTGCTCTTTAGTTTTATTTTTCTAGGTTTAATGTATTTAATTTTGGAGGTGTGAGTTTCAGTCAAAAGTGTTTGAATTTTTGGTTTACATTTAGACCAACTCACAAGAGAATTGCAACTATAATATTGCTCAAGTTGTCTTTTTTAAAATCTTTTTTATGGTAATGTACTCTGAGATTGTCAACTCAGGAATATGTGTTAATTATTTCTTGTTTGTTTCTAATGAAGAGGATAATCAATGTTGGTGACCTTGATTTTTTTTATTGTTATCATGATTATAATTATTACTGATGCTCAGGGTTCCAAATGCTGCACAGATACGAAGCCCTGCTCACGTCTAGTTAGTATTTCCTTTGCTCTTCTTCTTGCGTTCTCGTTGCAGGTGGTAGACTGTGGTTAAGACTGTGTGTTTCACATGCTTTTGATGAAGACAAATATGTTTTTGTTCCAGTGACCAAAGAATGTAGCCACACTGAATATGGCAAACAAATAGCGTGGAGCTCGGTTTATGGAGTGTCCTCTGCATTGATCCATGTTAATTGGTTTCAGAGAGAACTATTTCATTTTCAATTTATCGTGACAAAGCATGCAAAGAATGTTGTGCCCAAAAAATGTGTTTTCAGTGTTGACAACTGCTTTCTAGTGAATAAATATCTTTTTATGATTATGCTGGTATTTTGTTACTTTCACAAGCGGTGTGATGGTGTTGGGTGTGTGTGGTTAAGAGGGAGGTGATTCTTTTAAATGGGTTTTGTTGGCTTATAGCAAGTATCACAAACTTGCCATCTCGTTTTTCATTTTCTTTATTTTCAATATCTGTTATATTCCTGCTATAAACTTTATTTTCTTCAGTGAAACAAAAAAAAAAGGCACAATAAAAAATATTGTTAACAAGTGGTTTTATCTTGATTTTTCATTCTCACATCAAATTTCATCTCAAATTATATTAGAACTGTGGCTGTAATTTTTTGGGGAAAAATTATAGAAAAACTGAAATTGGACCAATCAGCTATGAGCAAAGTCACTCTCCCAGTTTCGCGGGCTCCGCCTTCTCTCTGGCTCCGCCTCGGTCCTCAGTCACACCGGCTCCACCCTGGCTGCGTCTCCGCCTCAGTCTCCAGAGCCGTCGATGTTGCGTGGCTCCACCTGGTTCTCCACCTCCATCAGCTTCATCTCCATCAGTCGTTCCCCTGGTGTCGTCAGCCCAGTCTCCATCATGTCTCCTCCCTCGCTCGACTCTGCTGTGGGCCATCGTCCTGGCTGTGGTCTGGGTCCCCTCCAGGCTCCTTCTGCTCCTGGCTTATCCCACCTTCATCATTACCCTGGTCTCTCCCGCTACCAGCACGCCTCAATTCCTGCCATTTCTATTAGTAAATAGTCCAAGATTATAATTCATGTCTGTGGTGTCCGCAGAATAATATAGAGACAATTGGAAAAGTTTTTGGGGCAGACCTGACCTGTTGAAAAGAGGTTCATCCCTCTTGGGGTGCATGGTGCCGCTCTTAATATGGAACTCCCAAACCCATTTAAGGGAAAGAATTCAATTGATATTCAACCATTAAAAAACAGATATAATACAGATGAACAAATGATAAAGCTTGGATTGCTGAATTTTCAGTCCCTTTCTTCAAAATCACTTATTGTTAATGATATAATTACAGATCATAGATGTGCTGTGTTTGACAGAAACCTGGCTAAAACCAGACGATTACATTACTTTAAATGAGTCCACTCCCAAGATTATTGTTATTAACACAAGCCTTGTCTGGTTAAATGTTATTTTATCAGTAATGCTCTCTGTTTTGTCGCAGAATTGTACACAGACGACAACATGGTATGTGGACATGGGTGATTTTTTTTAAGGTGTCTGATGCTGCTCAGCGGGCTAAAAGTAGCTATAAAGTACATTGAGACTTAAATTTAGATTTTTTTTCTTCTACAAAAACAACTTAATGGTCAGCATACATAACATTTGTCACATGTCGCTGGAAAGATTGAACACATTTGTAGACAATATCCTGTCAACCCGCGCAGAGGAGCAGGAGGTTGATAATTGGACTCTACTGGAGGCTGCACATTCGGTAAGAGGCTTATTGCACTGATGCTTTACTTCAACCACTGGAGACTGAACTGAGCAGGGATGATGATTTCCATCTAACGCCAAGCAGTAGCCTACTACAGAAACATTGCTATTTTTAATCGAGATAATGTATGCACCAGGGTTCTCAATTTAATAAACCCTGCTGAAAAATCCAGCACTGTTGGTCACCAGTTTTGCATTGCATCAGATGCTGATTGTTGGTTTGCTGGTCACCAGCATTGGAAGCAGTAGTGCTGGTGGACCTACACCAGATCAGAACCCAAACTTGAATTATTTTTGTAATAAAGCCTTTATTTGTCATATTGTTTTATCATAACGTCCTTTGGTACTTTTGGCACAATTTGGCCCTCGCCATCACTTTAATTAATTAATTAATTAATTCATTCATTCATTCATTCAAACAACCATAGCAGAATTTAATTTAAACTGTCCCTTTAAACTTTTTGAGCTGACAAAGACAAAATTGCCAAAATACAATGTATACAAAGCAGACACTGGTGTTTATTGTCCTTGGAGCTTGTTCCTGAACTTAAAAGTTTACAATATTAATTAAACAAAGGCTATTTCAGTTCGATTTTTACTCAAATTTCTATGGGGTCACACATGTTTTGAAGGAAAAAAAATCATATCACATTTCATTTTTCTGTCTTTAAAGGAATTTTAGATCATATTTAGCCTATGGGTGCCAATAGTCAAAAGGGCAGTATGTTTTTAAAATGTAGCCTATTGCTGTCTGTAAAAGTTGTC